ATTAATTTAAATCTGTGCAGGCAGGCAGAGTAGTAAACAATTTTGTAGGCTAGTAACTTGTGTATACCAAGTTGCTGTACACAAAATTTAGCTTACTAGCTAATGTTGAAGTACTGTGGCCTGCTTGGCTGCAGTCCACCAATTTTGGCAGTCCTTGGCAGTCAACCAAATTTTTTTGTAACCTCCCTGGAAAAGTGGAGTCTTTTCTTTGAAGTTGCATTGAGCTTCAGAGGCATGGCAATTGTCTCTAAAAGCACCACCCCAACTTGAGCTTCAAACTCAGCAGAAAGGTAGCCATGTTTCACTTTTCTTCTTCTGAACTTATTCCATTGATATGTATGGAATGGGATAATTTGGTTTACTATTCATTATCCTTTTTCTACTAACAAAGCCAGCTATAAGTCAATGACAAAACATTAGCCATCAATTATAAAGTGAGAGCCACATGTTTTTAAGAAGGTCTTATAATATTTTTCTTAATATGAATATCTGAATAATGTGTAACCTCAATGTAAAGAATGGATCCAGTAAAAATAAATTGACAGCTGTTTCTAGTCCATGTCAGTTTTGCATGCATTAATTCAAAAGACCATTCTATCCCTTTTTATTAATATGTGATCTTAAGAAATCTGTAAAAGATTTTGCTTCGAACCTATTCTGAACACATTTTGTCACAAGGCACATATTTCTAATTGTGTTTTTTCAACATCTGGATGTTTAACTTCATTTTATCCTCAAACACACATTTTTATGCATTTTGGCTTATTTCTTAGCCAAGATTTGCTTCACAAAATTCAGAGAAGTGTGAAATCCGAAGAATATTGTATATCATCTTCATATTTGTCTGGGACATGTGAAACAGACCAGTTCCCCTAAAAATGTAAACCAAATGATCTTCTCAAAGATCCCTAGTCTTCAGTGAACAGAGTCTGGCTGCAACTTCCCAAGTGTACATTTAGTAATAAAATATGGATTTGCTGCGAGTCTGTGGCCTTTAGTTCTTCAAAGGACAGTGAAACTTAACATATTTAAATATTTTGTCTGGTAATGTTCTCAAAGTCTTCCACTTCATAGATTTAATAACGTGCTAGAGCAGAATCCATCAACAGTTAAGCACTTTGAGAGGCACTGATATCAATGAACATTCGTTCAACTCTCCCTCTCAAATTAGTGAGATATAATGGTGCCTACCTATGGCTGGATTGTGCTCATTTTTAATTGCAGAGAACACTGAAGTAGTCCACTAGATTAATACTCACTGTAACAGCCCATCAAATATATATACACCATTTACTTGCTTTGTTCAAGATCAGATGCTGGTCAAATGAACAAGCTTTTCTTTCAAACTTGAGATTATATTTGCATTTTTAAAGGAAAGCTAGGACATGTTCGGCAACTCTTGTTCTCTTTCTTCCAGTGAGATGTAGAATCTTTCACGTTTACAGACTAGCACCTTTAAAAAAAAAAAAAAAAAAAGAGCCATGGGCCATAAATGCAACATCACAGCAAGGCGTGAGTAACTACAACATGGCAAATACCCAAAGTGAGATCAAGTAAGAGAATAATTTCATTCTGGCTGCTAACCTTCCTAAAACTAAAAATCTTAAATGGAGTACTTTTGTTTTTTGTTTAAGATGGGGGCTTCAATATAAAAACTTCAGAGTATATAAAAATTGTCTGCTAGATACCATGCTGCAGTTCAACAGTAGTTAAGGAATGGCAACTGACTTGCAGCACCTGAAGTGCTGATTGCACATATTCCACTGGATACATTCCAAAAGCCATCAAGACTTCCATCCAGCAAAAACACAAAATTTCAGCACACGTCTACCCATGGCAAGATTTATCTGCCTTGATCTAATTTGCCAAATATTGACAAAAGTGCTTGTTTTTGCCACATTCTGCCAACTGACTTTTGATCATTAATACTGTGATTATTAATACTGTGAAACATGCTTTTACTAATGTGTGCTCACCACGATGTCCCCGTGCTGTGTTAACAGTCTTTTGAATGTTAAAAACAACAACAATCATTATTGTGCAAATAAACACAGAGTGGCCTGGTTTGATGGGAAGGCACCATTTGTCTGGATTATTTAATCCATGATAAACTGCAGCACCCATAGGCACCCTGTTGCACTGCCAAGCCTTGCTTGGGGACTGGAGTGCCCTGTACGTTGCATATGCAAAATGGTGGTGGTGGACATACATCCACAGTTTCTCCATGGGTTAAATAACCCACAGTGGACTGTCTTGCTGGGCAAACCTGCCCAATTGATAAACATTAGATTTCCGATCGATCCAGGTCAAATACTGCAAGGATTAGAAACTTCAGTATTTTGTTTTGCTTTTCCTTTCCAGCATAGGTGTTCAGATAAGACTTTAGATGAGATTATGCATGCCCAGACACAGTTGCCAGTCATCTGGGAACTATGAGAACCAAAAATGCTAAGCCAGCAAACAAGTCACTGCACCAATTTCAAACAGCCAACTTTCTATCAGCAATTTTATTTGGGCCTCAGAGGAACTCATGAATGAAATAAAGAAGGGGGAGAAAACTGATGTATGTGAGTGTATGTATATATGTAGAAGTTAACATACAGGGCAGAGGTCTCCAATGCTTTTAGGCCAGTGGGCACATGCAGCCACGTGAAAACCTGTCCTGGGCACTACTATAAAATTATTGCCATGGGAGGTAATCTGCTAGCTATGAAAGACAAGTAATCTGCCCAAATGACTATTTTTTGGCTGTAAGGCAAAGGTGGAGTCTCAGTCTGAACATACAAAAGAAACTCTTAGGACTTTGCTTTCTGCAACAATGGAAACCTATTTCACTGAAGGCAAGCTCTCTTTGATCCCTTTTCTGTGAGCCAACTTATTCCTCTGACTCCTTTCAACCCAGATCATCTCCCTCTCCCTCTCCTCACATCACTTCCTTTTTCTTCTCACTGCAAGTTCATAAAAACACATCTCTCCAAAACTTCTCACCTCCCTCTGGATCTCCCCTGAGCTCGTTCGCTGCCGCTCTCTCTTCGTCACAAGCACAGTCCCTATCCAGTCAAACATACAGGCAGACAACCATCACCACCCTGCAGGTTGTTCCTAGCCAGCACCACCCTCCCTTGCAATTTCCTAGTGTCTTCCCTGGTTCTCTCCCTGAGGCCCTTCCTGACACCCAACTGCTCTCCCAGCCCCTGCCTGCTACTATCTACTCGGTGCAGTTCAGAAGACAGCTATGAAAGGTCCCTTTTCAGGACTAAGCATGTGACAGAGGAAAGTGTAGGTCACAGGTCACAGCTTCCCATCATCTTCATTTCCCCAGAATGTTTCTGAGCCTCACATGTGGCTCAGAAACTGCATGGGAAATGAAGAAGGCAACGCCTGGAATCCCTCACATCACTTTGAAGTATCCCAGCTGCCAGTAAGAAAAACGTATTTTTAAAAAGATAAACTTGGAGGGATTGTGCACCTCAATGGATTGCCAACAAAGGTGTCCAGGTAGACATGACATTAATGCTGCATTACCTTCCCTTGCTATAGTACCTAAACTTATTGCCTACTCAAATTCTTCAAAAATAACATGCACTCTATCAAATCTGATTAGGTCCACTGAGTCATATAACAAAAGGCCAATTCGCATGAACACCTGCATGTGATTATAAGATCATCCAATGGCAATACTGCTGCAATGGAACTTAGAACTCATGGGTTCAAATCCCTGCTTCACCATAAATCCCTGCTCACTTTCTGTCACTGAATATTCTATATTGAAGGGCTGTTGTAGGAATAGCAGGGAATATCCCCATGGAACAGAGGATATTGAAGAATCTTGACCTCCTTGAAGAAACGGTGGAATAGAAATACCATATTCACAATTTTGACATGTATATCTCTACTTAATGTACCAAAATATACACAAGACTTATGCCTGAATAATTTGATCTCAAGATGCCCCATCCCTCCTCCATGTTTGGTACAAAATGATTAACCTAGGAGATTTGCAGGTAATTACAGGCTCCTGTTCTACTGAAAACTAAGGTTACCAGGATTAGATGGAGGTAAAATCATAAACCAACTTCAAATCATGTGTTAGAATCCTGCTTTGAAGTGATCCTTCAGACCAAAGTTTCCCAGGTAAACATTAAAGGGAATGAAAACTTCCTGAGTTAATCACAGTGCAGTGGGAAAAGTGGTGAGAAGGGGCAAAGATGAAGCACCTGCAGGCACAGCATTCACATATATTTTGGTTTGATACAGACATCTGAATGGGACCCAAATGTCATCATGAAGTTCAATAGGGAACATGTAACTTTGTTAATCAGTGAATACAGAACTTGTCATTAATAGCATACCTTAGTTGACTAAGCACAGAAATGTAGGGTCAAGAAAGTCAAGAAGAATTGATGGGCTTAGCTTGCTCTTTGGCATAAAAATGTATCTGTACATATAAAATGTATCTGTAGATAAAATGTATCTGTGCAATATATCAAGCTTAGAAAACTTGTTAAATTTATAAAATGTGCTATTAGGATAGCTGGAAATAGAGGCAATTTGGAACACTATGTAAAGCAATGGCTGTTTACAAAGTTTAAGGGAGCTGATTGAAATGCATAACTGTTGTGCAAATAGTGTTCATCCAGTTACTATTTATCCAACTGCCCAGAGAGCTTTGGATATGGAGCGACAGACAGACAGACAGACACATACATTCATAGAATCTCATGCAACAGATGGTAAGAGCACGAAAGAAAGGCAACTGGTTGCTCATGCTTAAGGAATGGCTCACCAAGAAACTGGTATATGGATGGTGCCAAAGTTCCGACTGACAACTGGCCTGCAACATTAAGTAGCCACAGGAGCCTAGGAGCCTCTCCTACGGAGTCAGACCATGGGTGCACCTAGCTTAGTGCTGTCAACGTGCACCTAGAGATGACGGGCACTGAACCCGAGACCTTCTGCGTAAAGTGTGCATTTCTGCCCCTCAGATATGACCATTTCCCCAAAACGTATAATGATTTTTCAGTTTGCATAACATCCTTGCACTGAGATTGTACTAATCTTCTCTATATTGTTCCAGTTTTCATAAAAATGCAGCCCAAGTCAAAAGTCTATTTGAGCACTAGCATTGTAACAAAATGTGTTCCACATTCCCAAAGTCTGCCCAGCCAGGGCTATTTAGTATACAGCAATAAAGCACTCTAGGTTTGAGAGCTGCTGGCTAACAAACTTGAGTCCTTTCAAACTATGCAATGGAGAAGGATCTGGGAAATTAGAGAGGGAAAGCTCTACAGCTGCTGCAAGTCCTGGTTCCTATTCTAGACTACTGGGTAACATAATGAAAAAAAAAAGAACATTAATACACATATTTTGAAAATAACACTGTGAATGACAAAAAACTTCCTTCCCATGAAGAAATAGGTATCTTGAATTTGCACAGCATGGTTTCAAATACAGCAGCCTTCCCAACATCAGTAAGAAAAATGGGAAAGTTCTTCTAAGTAAAGACTTCAAAATGGCATTTGTAGCAGAGGAAAATATTTCATAATAAAATCAGCGATTAAGCTTTCAGTGTTCTTTTATGAGCAGCTAGCTTTTAGAACAATTGTGTTATTTGCAGAATACAGCTAAATTTCCTTGCACAGCTATGCCTCTGGACAGCCTTACTTTATGGGCTTAAGAAATAGTCATGGTGTAATTTCTTCATGAAATGTTAAACATGGTAAATCTTTAAGAGTGCCTCTGATGCTATAAAAGAATATATGTCTTTTTCTTTGATGAAAGCATCAGTATACCCTGAATTCTAATGCCTTCCCTCACTCCCATCATTTAAAACAAGCAACAAACCAGGAAGTTACCTAAGGAAACATTAAACATCTGGTGAAACATGTCATACTCTTGGGATTCTGCTAGTACATTAAATTTTTCTGCTCTACATCTGTAGCTTAGTTCACAATTCTGAAGAGTAAGAACACATTCCTCAATTGAAGGTATTTCCCAAATCAAAACAGGCAACTATGCACTTGTAGATGAAATATGCTAACGAGACCCTTCATTTGTTGTTGTCCAGTTTAGTTTTGTTCTCTTACTATACATTTGAACCTATTTAGAATCATGTGTTAAAAACAGGCTCTTAGTATTGAGAGTTAGGTTTCCTCCTTTGGTCTTTCCAAACAACAGACCATTTTTTGGCAAAAGCTCTTTATTCTCCAAAGTACATCCAACAAAAGAGTCTCTGAGCATGCATAAAGTAGTTTGTTGAACCCACAATAGAAACTACTTCCAAGAACCCTCCTTTTGAGTACACAGGGGCCTCTCTGGAGACAAGCCAGCCTCTTAGCTATATGTTGCCCCTTTGGCTGGGTAGCCCTTCTCTCCCAAAGTCATGTCATGGGGTTAAAGATCACACCAGGCTCATCTGGCTCATTCCCAGCAATTGCAAACTGTGCTTATTTTCAGGGTCTGCCTGAACTCCTGGAGAGGACAGCCGTGAGATAACTCTCCCGCCTATTCCATCTCAAAGTCTGGAGACCCCATTTCCCAGGCTCCCCCTCTGAAGAGTCCAAGTCTCCCTGGTCTTGAACCGCACACCAAGAACAACTGTCTCTTTAATTCCCAATAGTCACATCCTATGCATGGTCTTCAAATGTGAATAGAAGAAATGCCCCTATCATTAAAGTTGTGAAACTGAGAATATTGCCAAGTAAGTACAAAGTGAGCCAAGTCATTTCTTAAGCCTGTTTTATAAGATTTTTGGAGACAATAGTTAAGGTTTAACAGCTCATTGCAGAATTTTTAAGTTCTGGCCATAACCTTTTAAAAAAGAGTTTAACAGGAGTTTACAGCAATGTAGTTATAAAGGAGTTTACAGCTGCAAAATCTGCAATTTTAAAAAGGACCTATAGTTCCACAAGGAGATTAAAAAATTAAAAATAAGCAAAGATCAACAGAAGGAAACTCACTTGTGTTTTCAAACAGCTGTGAAGGATCATTCCACTGCTAAAATGGAAATCAGGAAGACTTCTAAATACATATATGGGATATAAGTTTAAAAACATAAAAGGATATATATTTTCCATCTTCCCATACTCTCAGCTACTCAGACCAGTCTTCTTCAAGCTGGTATTCTAGATGCTTTGAACTACACAAGTCCCAACCAACATGATGGATGGTTATAGATAATGGGTGCTGTAGCCCAAAAAATCTGGAAGGTGAAAGGTGTGGGGAAGTTGACTTAGAAAGTGCTGGTGATGGGAAATATTTTAAACATACAGGTGACCATCTAAGTGGATCAGTAAAAAGTGAGCAAACAAGCAGACCAATCTATCAAAAGTGGACAAAAACTTTGCAAGCAATAAACTTTAGTGGAGATGCTGTTATAAAAGATATTGCTAGTTCACAAAGCTCAGAATTTGTGATTATATACAATCATACATGGTGTGTACTATGGCCAAGCTACAATTGCACAACTTTATTCAGACATAAGTTCCACTGAGTTCCCAAAAATGCAACACAGAACACTGTGATTGGACCATCTCTTGGAAAAGCAGCCCATGAGAATGCAAGAAAGAGGAATTAAAGATGTGTAACTCTGTGTTACAGCCAAATGTACAAACAGTCACACTTTGTCAGGGAAATGTTGCTATTTTTCTGTTGTGTAGTTTGGGAAACCATCTTATTTCAGGGCATGCTGCTTTTAAAGGGCTGCACAACAGGTCTAATGCACTGTCCCTTAAAGAGCACGACTCTACCAAGAACAGCCCAAAATCATGGCTAATTCCTAAGTCTGATCTAGCACTTCAGCTCCTCTGCCACCTCCCCTACCCACTTAACATCTGTATTTGCCTTTCTTTGGCAGAAACAACCGTCAGCATAAGAGTACAGAAAAGCATCAGTTTTACCTTTAATGCAAAATAGCAGATGGAAACAAAGAGGAACCAGGAAAACAGGGCAGGCCAGCACCATGTGTTTTTATTTATTTACTATGGGTATCTTTATATCACCTTTCAATCATTCCCAAGGTTTACAAATAACAGTAAGTGAATTAAAATGTAAATGCAAACAAAACATAATCCTCTAAAAAAGAGCAACAGCCCCAAGATTAAAACTGCATCTAAAGTACTTTGAAAAATCAAAAGATCTTGGCTCAGCATCAAAAGAACAAGAAAGCAGGTGCCGGGTGAACCACTTTGGAGAGATCGTTTCACCACTCAGGCACTGCCAATGAAATGCCCTTCTCCCTGGCAGCCCTCACTTTACTGTGGATAGCACTTGTAGGAGGCCCTCCACCCAAGATCTTAGCACAGATGTGCATGGAGCAAGCAGTCCTTCAGGGACCTTCTTCCTAAGCCATGAAGTTGTGCACACACAGCGGGCAAGTCATTTCTCCGATTGTGCCACACGGAGGTCTCTCGCTCCCACTGAAAAGGCCCCGTTGCTCCTCTCTAGGCATGCAGCTCTCTCACTAAACACTTCTCAGCTTCTCCCTTTAAACATCAACATTTTCTCCCTTAGTTCCTCCATGGAGCTATTGAGCAAAATCCATCTTTAGGGAAGCAAATTTGCACCCATGCAACAGTACTATTCCCTGACTTCCCAGCTCCTGAAGGCCACTGTGTTTCCCAGTCCCCAAAATTAGTTTGAGGGGGCTGCAAATGGGAATTGCTCCACTCTCCATTCTAATGATGGAATGTGTTCTCTTAGCAGGAGTTTGCACTGTAAACTCACCAGGGGAGGGACATACTCAGCTATGTTAATCTCCGAAGTGTTGTGTGCAAATGGCACTACATATTAAAAGAACAACGGCTCAACAACTTGCAGAAAATGAGAACCATCTAAAACTGAGTGCACAATGCACCATTAAGTTTGAAATCTGTTCCAAGAGTTTCGTAACAAATGCTATTTGAAATTCAGCTTGTGAATTCCACACCTAGGAAAGGACTGGCACAAGTATACATACACATCATATAGTACCTCCCTAAACATATCATAACAGTAGGGCTGCATGCTGCTCACACGTAATCCTCTCATGTGATCCAGGCCACTGATATTCTCCTTCTCCTTCAAACTTCTACCTCGGGGGTGGGGGCGGCAAAGTTGCAAGAACTGGTCAGCTTCACCTACCTCACACTTTACTGTGTGTGTGGTGGATGATAAGTCACAAGCCCACTGCCCTGTTATAGATATGAGAGTAAACCATGAGTTCGCAATGCTATCAATAATGAAAAAAAAATATCCATTTTGTCAAAGACAGCCCCTGTAAACGCAGAAAAACTTCATTGCTTTTTGCCATTTTACCTATCATGGCTCAGTTTAGACTCTGTGAATTCTGTCAGAACTTCTTCATAAGCTCTTCATAGAACTAGTTTCCAGGATTGCCTAAATGACAATTGAACCAGTTTTGTCTATGGTATAAAAAAGGCCTTAGTATCAAAACCCCAGGAAAAGTGTTTATGGAAATTAAAATAGAATTAGGCAGGAAGAATACGGTAGAGAGTACCTGTCTTGCCCCACCTCCTGCTTTGTATTGTTTTCTACTCAGACAAAATGCATATGCAGACTTTATGAGACATTAGTTTAAAAGAACAATTTAATGTTTTATTTTTTTTCATTTGCTTCTCCCATCTCTATGCCAAGAGAACATAAATTCTTAGCTCCTTAGCACAATGGAGAACCCCTCAATGGATCCAATGATCCATTTGTTGGTAATGTGATCAAACTGTAAATTATCTTTGCAAAATCCTGTCAGAATACTATCATTTTCAAATTCTTCTTAAACTCTCAAATGGGATCTCCTAAAAATACATATATTTCACCAGCTTACTCCTGTATGTTTTATATATATGAATGAACCTATTTTGGTTTTGTAAAATTATCTGAGTGTTCCCTCAAGTCAAATTAAGGGTTACCAGCCTGTTTTTCTTAGCACATTTTTTTCTCAAGAGATTACAATACAACTACCATTTTTCAGTGGTCTGCCACAATGGGTCTCTCAGTAATAAATTACACATTGTTAGCAATTCAGCTACTTTTGCTTCTTTTGTTCCTTATTAACTTGGATCAATGCCATCTGGTTCTACTGATTTATTGCTAGTTACTTTCGTTTCC